GACCCTCCGCTTGGCGCCAGCCCCCCTGGGTCGTGTCTGCCCTGAAGGCCAGGGCTTCCCCTGGGACTCTACCCGTTCCTTGCTTCCCCCAAAGCTCCCTGTGGGATTTGAGGCACTTGCAGAGCGGGTTGCTGCCGCAGGCTGGCCTGGGCTCAGCTGCTTTCTCATCTCCCTTCTGCAGTGGTTCACTCCAGAAGGCTTTCAGTCTCTCTTTGCCCTCGTTGGGACCAATGGCCAAGGCATAGGAACAAGGTAATGGGGCTTTCTGGGTGCTCCTTGCAGGGCAGCAGAGATGTGGCATGGAGGGGATGTACAGTCTGTAAATCCACGCTGGCCTGGGTAACGGCTGGGTTCAGATGTAAGAGAGGGGGATGGAGAGGCAAACTTAAAAGCAGTCTTTCATCTTGGCTGTGTCCAGCCCTTCTGTGTCCCTCTGCCAGACCTTGGCCACTCAGAGCCACTGATTTTAACCCTTGATCCCTCCTGCGAAGTCCCACCATGTGCCGACAGCACTGTGGGACTGTAACGGTGTCCCTCTGCTTCCCGACAGCTCTCTGAGCCAGTGGGTGCACGCTTGCGATGCGCTGGATCTCCCCATGCTGCAGCGAGAGGAGCTGGACGCCTTCATCGACCAGCTCTACAAGGACATCGAGAAGGGTGAGGCTCTGACGTGGCTGTGGGCAGCATCCAGCAGTGCTGTTTTCAGGAGACTGCTGGAGACTCTTGCCAGCATTCGGGGAATGGGAGAGGTTCCCACTGGGGACTGGGAGATCCCACTTCCCCCGGTCCACGCGAGCCATGCCTGCTGCCTTTGGCTCACTATGTGGATAGGGCAAGTCCAAGTTTGTGGACAGCATGGCCCAGGTGAACTGCAGCAGGTTGGGGTGGCTGGAGGGCTGATCTGGAGGGATCCTGTGCAGGAAAGTCCCATCTACGCTGAGTGTTCAAAGACCTGTTTATCACTTATTTGACTGATGCAGCTGTGTGAGTACAGGGACAGACCAGGGAGCCTGTGGGTGCAAATCTTCACGTCCTCCACCCCCTCCCAGTGGGGAGGGAAGGGTGCTTTGGAAATCACCCTCCAACACCCGGCCCCCAAAGCAGCGCTGGCTGGGTGCGTTCAGCGTTGATGGACATCCCTTCGTGCTCGCGCTGAGCTGCGCTTGTGGAAGAGCCAGAATGGCCCATGCAAAGCTCTAACCCCCTCTCTGTGCTGCAGAGTCGGGAGAGTTCCTCAACTGCGAGGGATCAGGTCTCTACGTGCTCCAGAGCTGCTGTAAGTAACGCAAGGACTGGGAGGAAGACTGGTGGTGAGGAGGGAGATGTCCTGGGCTAGACTGGCTCACCTCTTCCTAAAAGCTTCTGGAGAAAGGGGTTTATGCTTCACATCCATGGGTAGGATGGGACTGGGTGGGTTGGGATGGGATGGCTGCTCTCTCGGGGTCTCCTGGCATCTCACCTAGCTATGAAGTGGTCAGTCCTGGCTTGAATGGACTTGGATATGATATGGGCTCCGAGAGCCGTGTATGCAGCTAGCAAAGAGACTCTCTCCGTCCTTGTCTGAGCAAAACGGAGGTGAACAAACCACGAAGGGAGGGAACCTTTCTGGGCCGGGCCATGGGGACGTAGGAGAGGATGTCCCAGCACCCGGAGCTGTTCTCTTTCACTCCTAAGCGTTAACGGCGCAGCGGGGACGAGCAGGGCCTGGGGACTGGCTGCTGGGAGAGCTGTGAAGCAGGGAAAAAGTGCTGCCCTGTGCACCCTTCCCTCAGCACCTGGAGGCAGAGATGGTGCCGTGCATCCCTGGGGTTGACCGAGGACGGCTCGCTCTCTCCGAGTGGTTTTTATGGTCTAAGGGAGAGCCCTGACCCTGCACCCTGCTCCGCTGGACCCCGTAGTCCCCAGTGTGAGTGGAGAGTGTCATGCTGGTGTCCCCCAGGTCGATGGGGTGGCTGCAGCATTGTGCTGCCTTATCCTTAGCCAGGCCACGGCCCTCCCAGTTGGAGGCACTGGATCCCACGTGCCCAGGCCACACAGAAGGGCAGGCACAAGCCCGGCAGGCTGTGTGGGGTCTTCCAACCCTGCCTCTGCCTTCCCCTTCCTCTGGAGACACCCTCACAGCCGCATCCCATCTTTCCCGAAGGAAACCACAGCTGCATCCCCAACGCCGAGACATCCTTCCCGGAAAACAACTTCCTCCTGCATCTGACAGCTCTGGAGGACATCGAAGCAGGAGAGGTGAGACAGTGGGGCCCGGATGAACCTGGGGTGGCATCGCACCTTGGCAGGGGGTCCCTGTGCCCCCTACATCCCTCGCAGACCCCAGCCCCGTACCTCCTGCCTCTTGCATTGTCCTGGCAGAGGAATTCACGCCTCATCCCATGTAGGGGCTGCCAGACCCCATGTTTCTGCCTGACTCTCAGAGGGACTGGTACAGATCGTGCTGCTTTGGGTTCATGGGAAGCGATTCTCAGCCCAACCTGTTTCTCTTTGCTCGCAGGAAATCTGCATCAGTTATTTAGACTGCTGTCAGAGGGAGCGGAGCAGACACAGCCGCAACAAGATACTCAGGTAGGGGCTGCTTGGAGGAACCCGGGGGGGACACGACACCCCTTTGCACCCCCAGCCAGTCAGCCTGGGCTGCATCCCCACCTCGGGGCCCTGTGCGTGCCCTGGTGTGTGGCTGTGCATATAGCGTGTGGTGCTTTCGGTGCTTCGAGCTCCTTGCAGTTCTTATGCGTTGTAGCCTCAGGGACTGAGGATTTGGGCTCCCCCTCTTTCTCTGCAGGCTTGCACCACTCTGCAGTTCACTTCTGCAAACCCTTGCTGTCCCCACCCACCTTCCTTTTCCTTCTCTGCCCTTCCTCTCCTGCTGCTGGCCACCGTCCCCGTGTCCCGTCACCCCTGCAGGGCTGAGAAAGCCCCCTCTCCACCCAGACTGCCTCCACCCCACCTGAGCCCAGCATGATCGAACCCGCAAACTCCTCCGGGTTTAACATATTTAGCCCCTTCCTGGCTGCTCTGTCCCCAGCCCCCTGCCCAGCAGCAGTGTTGGGGTTGTGCCTCTCTCAACGCCGTCACTCCTTCTCCTTCTTCCTTCCCTTCTTCCAGGGAGAACTACTTGTTTACCTGCTCGTGTCCCAAGTGCCTAGCGCAAGCCGACGATGCCGACGTGACGTCGGACGAAGAAGAGGAGGGCGAAGGGGAGACGGATGATGCTGAGCTGGAGGATGAGATGACTGACGTTTGATCCTGGCCCCGGGCAAGAGGAGAGGGAAGGGACGGGGGGGTCCTCCGAGAGGCAGCAGCTTTAATACTAGAAACAGGGTTGTGTTGTGGGGTCGGGTGGGAGGCCACGTGCCGGTGGCGGGTGTGGAGGTCTGGCAGAGTGGGGGCAGCGGGGGAGCCGGAGGCAGGCCCTGCTCCCGCCTGTCCTTGTTGGGGGCTGTGCGTGCGTGTGTGCGTGCGTGTGTGTGTGTCAGGCCGTCCCCGTCCTCCCTGTGAGGACAGGCTGTGAGCCGGTGGACCCCTGCCGCGTCCCGGTCCCTGGAGGGGCTGGTTGGTGCTTGCAGGGGAGGCTGGAGGGAGAGCAGGGTCCAGCCAGCCCCTGGGACATCACGATGGTCACCTTGGGGCCACCTGCGAGGCTGCTCCACCGTGTCTGTGCCGGCCGTGGATGCGGAGGAGCACGTCCTTTCCTACCCGCAGGGATGAGTGGAACGCATGTGCGTGTATGTGTGTTTGTGCACGAGGGGTACTATTTAATGTCTATATTAGCACTATCTACACACTAAGGAGCTGGGGTCCTTATATATACTCCATTCCATGCCTTGGCTCGGCGAGCAGCAAGGGGCAAAACGGTTTTGCAGGTGGGACAGAGACGCCTTAAGGGTGGCTCAGATGCCCAAGTCCAGTGGGGAGAGTGGGGCCGACCTGGCAGACGCCGCCCTCCCGCCTCGGCCCCATCCTTGACACGATGCAAAGCCCCGGGCAGCGATTGCCAGGCTGTTCGGGGAGGGGGAACGGCCAGGCTGCTGCTAACCCAGAGCCGACAAGGGCTGCGGTGTTGCATAAGCAAAGTCACCGTCCAAAAGTCAAGCGACGTTTTGGGTTT